TTATCGTTTATTTCGCCACACCCTCTCTAACAATAATCATAATGTAAGATCTGATCTAAATCTTGAGGAAATTTTGGTGAATGAGGAAGACAATTAGTTATAAGTAAGGCCAAAAAGAAACACTTATTTTAATGACTAATTTATTGCAATCTTACAAAGCATCTACATCAACTACAACTACTACATCTCAAGTTGGGGAATTCCCATTGCTTTTCTCTCTTTTGTTCTTTTTTTCTTTTTGTTTGGTGGTGGAATTTCAATTCATAAAATGAACAATATTGAAGAAGAAGGGACATAATTTGATGGACATATTAATATTAATATTATTATTATTATTATTATTGTTATTTATAATAATAATCAATCTCAAGCTGTGACAGATGTTTCCACAGCTAGTTTTCCAGGGTATGCAACTTCTGATTTTATATCAGTTTCCCATAGTTCTGGCACAGCTTCCTTAAGGTTGTGAATGCTTTCCAAAGCATAATCTGCTCCTTTGCATCTTTGTGATGTACCAACCTGTGTATGCAGCAATCAATGAGTATCTATAGAATCAAATTATGCAGAGTTTATCTACACTGAAATGCAACCAATAATAGCTTCTGGAAGCAACTCAGTTTCTGCTACATGACAAAATTTCAAATGATTTACCAGCACAGTGTGAAGCCCCACACGTTTTCCAGCTTGTATGTTACGGGTACTGTCCTCAAAGAACAACTGATATAAGAACACAAGAAAGAAACAACAGTTAAACCAAGTTACAAAGAACACATTGGATAAGTGAAAAACTATACTTTAAGTCTCTCTTCTTACTTTGTTTAGTTTATTAAATCTCAAAGAATAAACTGTCCTTAATTGACTGAGGTGACAAAGGTTAATATGATGTGACATTTTTCACAATTTATTATTTGTTCTAAGTGGAATAACCAACATCAGTTTTTTTATTAATGTACGGCTGTTGACAGCACCAAAAAAACTCAATAGAAAATCTGGACTAGACCAAGACCATTTTATTGATTAAGTTAAAACCTTTTAAAACTGTATTTTAGCTTTAGATCATGAAAGTTAAAGGGTTAATTTCTTACTGTTCTTTGAGGTTTGAGGTTGGCTATGTTGAGGGCCAATTCAATGGCATTTTCTGATGGTTTGCAGATAATTGGTGTCTTTGGCAAAACTGAAGTGGGATTGGGCTTGGCAAAATGTTCTATGATGTCAAAGATTTGAGAATTGGCTGGAGCATTACTGCTAGTGGTTGGATTGGTTGTCCTTGAACCCACAAACTCAATGTCATCTTCATCATCAGAAACAGTGCTCTTGTGAATGGGATTAAGGGTCTCAAAGCATATGATTCCTTCAAAGCAGCCTTCTAATCCAAGCCTGTTAAGTGCCTTAGCAGCATGGACTTTGTCTGCATTTGTGAAGATCTATTCACAAAAACAAGAGAAACAATAAAGGTCACATTAGATATTATACATGCACCATCTCATGTCACATATTTTACTGCTTCATATAGGTCATAGAACAACTTACAAGTTTCCTATAGGGCAGGCTCAGCAAGAGGTTCCTCAGAACTGGGTCTGGTTTTAGGTTCTCATAAGGTAATCTCCCATGAACAAAACTGCAAGCAGTGATTAAGAAACCAATGTCAAACCATTTCAAAATAAACACAAAAGTTCTGAAAGAAAAAAACACTTTTTTATCAGTTTGAAAGTGATGGGGGGTAAGAGAAAAAGGGTAAGTTACCTATGATATTCATCATAGTCAAAGTCATATCCAATTGCCTGAATAGAAAATGAAACAAAAACAATTATGGGCTGTTAGTGTTTCAAGAGTTTAATAATGGAAACCAATAATGATAAGGAAACATACCCTTAGACCAGCCATAGTTGTTCCATAATTCTTGTAAAGGAGGTTGGATAAGTCATCAATTTTGCTTGGGTGTATGCCAAGCTTTTCAACCATGTAGTCTGTGATCAATGATAGCACTCATGTGAGTACAAATTGCAGAGTCATTTCTGAGAATGCTGTGACATAAGCATATGGCACAGTGGCTTACCTTTAATATTTTTGAGACATGCTTCTGCAAGACCAGATTTGAGGGGATACAAAGTATCATCTAAATCTGCAGAACAATCTCATGGTTAAAACACAGCACACATGAATAAGGAAATTCAATTTGGTATGTTAAAGTTGTTCTGATAGCAACACAAGGCTCACCAAAAAGAAGACAATCATATTTTGGTCTCTGAGCCTGGTGTCTGAAGCGGTCTTCAAACTCCATTTCAAAGCCTTAAACATATAACAGAAAAAAAGCGTGTAAATTCCATGGAAACTTTATTTGAACCAATCAAAATTTACATGACAATTCATTTTGATTCTCAAGCCACAGATCCTCATGGCTTTATGGAGCCACAAATAGATGCTTTTATTACTCAGATTAGCATCTAAAGTGATTAAAGTGTCCATAAGGGGAGACCAATAAGGGCCAATACAAACCATTTGGGATAAGGCTTTGTGAAGTTTCTGAGTGGACAATCCACAACCAGTGGAATGGATTGAATTAAAAAAAAGAAAAAAAAAACATTGAAACAGTGCCCCTTTGGTGCCACAGAACTTAAAGAAACATGGTAAGGCTTGCTTTAAATTATAAAACTTAAAAGCCACAAGAAATGGACTTGTGTGAAAGGGAACACACCCATCAATAAAGCCTTGGAACAGAGTTCATGTGACAGAGCAAAGCACTTGGAAAAGTGAATAAACTTTTGAAAGCATAAAATCTGCTCATTAAACAAACTTCCATGATCCAACTGAAAAGACATCTCTTTACAGCAATGCATATTTTGTAGAATCACCACATAAACAGGTTTACATTTGAAAATAACAAATTTATGGCAGCTGTTGTTCTTTATTNATCATCCATGAGACATTCATCCTTGGAATTCTCTTCCACAATATTTGAAAGTATAAATCTTCAATTCTTAACATACACAATCATTCATCAATTAAATTTTCACATAATAAAGATAAAACCTGTGAACATTGGAGACCGAACACCTTCACCCTACCCAATCGAGAGAACCGAACGGTTCATAACAAACAAAGTAGAAAACACTGACCGAACGCTATTATTGACCGACCACCATAGAAACCAACTACTAGACAATTAGCCCAATCCAAAGAGTTTAAACTACACACTCATAATTTACACTGAAAACTCTTAAAAACTTATACCGAATATTATACTAGACCGAGTACTTAGAGATTTTTGGATATTCTATCGAGACCGAACACTAGTTTAATATTATAACACTTACGATTAGACCGAACGGTCATAAATAGATAATACTGCTAATAGACTGAATCCAGTTAATGACTGAGTACATAACACAGTCGAATGGTCAACTGAACAAATCTTTGAATAACAATTCTTAAACCAAAATAAGATATTTTTCTTAATCTTTAACCCTCCAAACGTGATTTCTAAGTTATTTTAAACATATTCTACTGAACCTATTACACACCGCTCACCACTCACATTTTCACACAATCTCTTCTCTCACCTAGACTGACCGAATGTTCTACAATAGGAACTCCAATTCAGTTCACAAGTCTCGGCCAAACACAGAATTTGAATACAATTCAATCAAACATACCATCATTCATACCTGCAAACGTTCACACATCAACTTCAAACATAAAAAAATGTAATTAAATAACTAGCTTCCCTTACCTTGAATAAACTAGGAATTTCCTAAGCCTCCACCACTTTGAATAACCAGCAATCACTTCTAAAGCAACCCACTACAATTCCGATCGGTGAAAAGGGACCAACCAGAGGATCAAAACAGAAACAGGTTTAGAGAGAAATAGATGAAGAACACATACAAGCTGAACAATGCTTACATGTATCAGAAATTACTGAAAACTTTAACGAACGAGAGAAATTACTTACCCACTTCGACAACAACTAGATTGATGGAAAAGAAACTCTTGTCACCAAAGAAGAATTCAAACACGGCCTAGATGATGATCAGCAGAAGAAGAGAGTGAGGATTTTTAGAGAGAAGAATGAGGATTGTAGAGAGAAGGAGGAGAAACTCATAAATCTGAAGAGAAGAGGTGCATGCAAAAAGTGGCTCAACGTTTGAAAATTTTGCTTATATACTACCGTCAAAAATCGATCAGTCCAACCAGTTGCATACACCTGTTTTTCACTTTCTGAATTTTCTAAACCCTCACACCAACACCTGGCTTCCACTTACTACTAAATTTAATGGTTCTGACATTAAATCTATGATAAAAATTATATTTCACAAAATATATTTATTATAAATAATCTAAATAAATATATAATGATAAAATCATATGTATGAATGAAAACTAAATTAGTTAATTTATTATGAAACTTTGAATCATATATCTTTACAAAAATGTAAATATCGATATATTTTTTTTAAACTCCAAATAATCCAAACAAATCATACTAAAAATTAATCACCATCTAACTAAACTAACTAAAGTATTTGAAAATCAACAACTCCTTTTGTCAAATTTGTTACTAAATGATACTTGATATTCCTAGCACATATAGACTCCATTGAAAAGTTAATTTTAACAAATAATATATATTTATTCAGTTAATAACATACTATTTGCTATTCATAATAATTATTGTACTGCCGTTGTTATTACTTTAATGGAAGAAATTTGTCGAGTTGCGTTTTTCTAAAATAAAATTGAGGATATTTAAAATAATAAAACGATATTAAATAAATCATGATAATGACAAAAAAAAGCCTATTAAACTTAAAATTTAATAATTTCTTTGGATGAAAATTTCTTTTTCACAATGTTTGATATCTTATTTTATTCCAGATTTATCGTTTATTTCGCCACACCCTCTCTAACAATAATCATAATGTAAGATCTGATCTAAATCTTGAGGAAATTTTGGTGAATGAGGAAGACAATTAGTTATAAGTAAGGCCAAAAAGAAACACTTATTTTAATGACTAATTTATTGCAATCTTACAAAGCATCTACATCAACTACAACTACTACATCTCAAGTTGGGGAATTCCCATTGCTTTTCTCTCTTTTGTTCTTTTTTTCTTTTTGTTTGGTGGTGGAATTTCAATTCATAAAATGAACAATATTGAAGAAGAAGGGACATAATTTGATGGACATATTAATATTAATATTATTATTATTATTATTATTGTTATTTATAATAATAATCAATCTCAAGCTGTGACAGATGTTTCCACAGCTAGTTTTCCAGGGTATGCAACTTCTGATTTTATATCAGTTTCCCATAGTTCTGGCACAGCTTCCTTAAGGTTGTGAATGCTTTCCAAAGCATAATCTGCTCCTTTGCATCTTTGTGATGTACCAACCTGTGTATGCAGCAATCAATGAGTATCTATAGAATCAAATTATGCAGAGTTTATCTACACTGAAATGCAACCAATAATAGCTTCTGGAAGCAACTCAGTTTCTGCTACATGACAAAATTTCAAATGATTTACCAGCACAGTGTGAAGCCCCACACGTTTTCCAGCTTGTATGTTACGGGTACTGTCCTCAAAGAACAACTGATATAAGAACACAAGAAAGAAACAACAGTTAAACCAAGTTACAAAGAACACATTGGATAAGTGAAAAACTATACTTTAAGTCTCTCTTCTTACTTTGTTTAGTTTATTAAATCTCAAAGAATAAACTGTCCTTAATTGACTGAGGTGACAAAGGTTAATATGATGTGACATTTTTCACAATTTATTATTTGTTCTAAGTGGAATAACCAACATCAGTTTTTTTATTAATGTACGGCTGTTGACAGCACCAAAAAAACTCAATAGAAAATCTGGACTAGACCAAGACCATTTTATTGATTAAGTTAAAACCTTTTAAAACTGTATTTTAGCTTAAGATCATGAAAGTTAAAGGGTTAATTTCTTACTGTTCTTTGAGGTTTGAGGTTGGCTATGTTGAGGGCCAATTCAATGGCATTTTCTGATGGTTTGCAGATAATTGGTGTCTTTGGCAAAACTGAAGTGGGATTGGGCTTGGCAAAATGTTCTATGATGTCAAAGATTTGAGAATTGGCTGGAGCATTACTGCTAGTGGTTGGATTGGTTGTCCTTGAACCCACAAACTCAATGTCATCTTCATCATCAGAAACAGTGCTCTTGTGAATGGGATTAAGGGTCTCAAAGCATATGATTCCTTCAAAGCAGCCTTCTAATCCAAGCCTGTTAAGTGCCTTAGCAGCATGGACTTTGTCTGCATTTGTGAAGATCTATTCACAAAAACAAGAGAAACAATAAAGGTCACATTAGATATTATACATGCACCATCTCATGTCACATATTTTACTGCTTCATATAGGTCATAGAACAACTTACAAGTTTCCTATAGGGCAGGCTCAGCAAGAGGTTCCTCAGAACTGGGTCTGGTTTTAGGTTCTCATAAGGTAATCTCCCATGAACAAAACTGCAAGCAGTGATTAAGAAACCAATGTCAAACCATTTCAAAATAAACACAAAAGTTCTGAAAGAAAAAAACACTTTTTTATCAGTTTGAAAGTGATGGGGGGTAAGAGAAAAAGGGTAAGTTACCTATGATATTCATCATAGTCAAAGTCATATCCAATTGCCTGAATAGAAAATGAAACAAAAACAATTATGGGCTGTTAGTGTTTCAAGAGTTTAATAATGGAAACCAATAATGATAAGGAAACATACCCTTAGACCAGCCATAGTTGTTCCATAATTCTTGTAAAGGAGGTTGGATAAGTCATCAATTTTGCTTGGGTGTATGCCAAGCTTTTCAACCATGTAGTCTGTGATCAATGATAGCACTCATGTGAGTACAAATTGCAGAGTCATTTCTGAGAATGCTGTGACATAAGCATATGGCACAGTGGCTTACCTTTAATATTTTTGAGACATGCTTCTGCAAGACCAGATTTGAGGGGATACAAAGTATCATCTAAATCTGCAGAAAAATCTCATGGTTAAAACACAGCACACATGAATAAGGAAATTCAATTTGGTATGTTAAAGTTGTTCTGATAGCAACACAAGGCTCACCAAAAAGAAGACAATCATATTTTGGTCTCTGAGCCTGGTGTCTGAAGCGGTCTTCAAACTCCATTTCAAAGCCTTAAACATATAACAGAAAAAAAGAGTGTAAATTCCATGGAAACTTTATTTGAACCAATCAAAATTTACATGACAATTCATTTTGATTCTCAAGCCACAGATCCTCATGGCTTTATGGAACCACAAATAGATGCTTTTATTACTCAGATTAGCATCAAAAGTGATTAAAGTGTCCATAAGGGGAGACCAATAAGGGCCAATACAAACCATTTGGGATAAGGCTTTGTGAAGTTTCTGAGTGGACAATCCACAACCAGTGGAATGGATTGAATTAAAAAAAAGAAAAAAAAA